CCCATTCCCTGTCTCTGCCTCTTCACATCCCTCCTCCACAGCCCCCACTCTCCCAGCCTGGTCCCCCCCACACCCACAGCTGCGCAAGGCCGGGGTCCCATGGGGAGCGGAGTGCTGCACTGCTCATTAAAGCCTCATTTGTTGTCTGGCAGGTGGCGATGGGGAGGCAGGCGAGCGCTTCCAAGATTTATTGGCTTTAATTAATTAACGTGTTTGTTTCTCCCATCGTCTCAGTCGCTGCTGTACAAGCCCGTCTGATTAAAAACTATCCTGATCTGCAGCCCGGCCCACACGAACGCCAGCCGTGCCACACGGCGATGGCCCCATCCGCACAGGTGTCCCGGCCCCAGTCACGCTGGCCCCCAGTTCCAGATGGGAAACTGAGGCAGGGGTGTCAGGACACATTTCCAAAAGTGGTCAGCAGGATGCTGGCAAAGCAGGCGCCAGCTTGTGCCAAGGTCCCCAAGTCTGCGCTGAACAGTGGCAAACCCCTCGCAGACGCTCACCTGGCTCACCTGTGCTAGCGCTGTCAGGTGGGTTTATGAGCAAGGAGTGGTCCTGTGGCACCTGAGAGACTAACAAATATACCTACAGTATCAGGCGCTTTTGTGGGTACAACCCACTTCCTCAGATGAGATGATTATGGTGTAGACCAAGGGTGGGCAAGATCCAGCCACCAAGCCATTTGATCTGGCTTGTGGCTATCCTGTCACTTCCCTGCCCCCCGGCCAATCGAGACCTGGGGGTGGAGGAGCGTGCGAAGTCATTTGCTGTTCAACATGGCTGGCGGTTCCGTCTAGGCGCTGCATGCTCCTGGCAGGGGGGGGGCAGGGAGGGAGCGAGAGACTTCTCACGCTCCCGTGTCCTCAGGCACTGATTGGCCCAGGGGTGAGGGAGCACCTCTCCCTGCCATGGGGCGCCTACAGGGAATAGCCCTTTCCGCCCGAGGCCCCACCCCTTCCCCTAAGGCCCCGACTCTTCCAGGGAAGGGGGACTGGCTCTTGACCACTGCCAAAATTCATTATGTGCCCCCCTGCAAAAATGATTGTGCACTCCTAGTGTAGACTCTGCTGAATGCTTGTGAGCCGCGGCAGCAGTTACCTCACTTTGAGCATGTGGAGCTGTCATAACCAGGAGAGCTGATCAGCACCTGGGGACTAAGGGGTTAACTAGGTCTCCTGTCCCTAGCCAGGTATCTGATCAGCCAACAGCAATGCAGGTAGGGATTTCAAACTGGGACAAAGGAATTTTTATCTTTTCCCTCCTTTGTTTGAGTCAGAGGGATTTCCTTCCAAGTAACAGGGAGATGGGAAGCCCTGTCTCTCTCCAAGAAAAGATCTCTTAGAATGTGTAAGTAGGGCAAAGTTTAGTGAGCCGGTCAGGTTTTATTGTTTTCTGGTTTGGGGATTTGGAACTGATGTCTGTGCTGTTAAAAGTATGTTTTCTCTTTCTTTTGTAATGAAGCTTTCTAACCTAGGGAATTTTCTCTGAGTATATCAATTGGTGGCTCTTACCACCTAGCCACCTCAGCTACGCTTGCAATGGTAGTTTTGTTTTGATAATAAAAGTTTATGTTCTTTTTCTAATTAACCAGTCTGTATTGGTTCATTTTTGTGTCCTGGAAGGTCTGTTTGTCTAACTCAGGGGCAGCTATCACAGACTGCAGCTTGTTTTCTCTTTTCTTTCTCAAGCTCTTTGGGGGGGAAAGAGCTTGAAATACCCCTGAGGATTTAGGGAGGAGGTTTTCCAAATGATCTTTCCCTGGTTTCCTTGGAATTACTTGGGTGGTGGCAGCGGATAGTCTCCAAAGTCCGGGTATTAGGATTTGGGGGGGAAGTTTTTGTACAAAAGCCTGTAGAGATAAGGTTTTGGGGTGCTTTTGTGGGCCCCCACTTCTATATTAGTAATGCCAGAGTGGGGAACAGCCTTGACATGGTGGCAGAGGTGGGATCATTTTGAGAACCCAGGATTTTAAAAGGATACAGGTAGTGTAGTAGTTGCAAGCTTTGGAGGTTTTTTCCCAGGATTTTAAAAGGATACAGGTAGTGTAGTACTTGCAAGCTTTGGAGGGTTTTTTTTCTCTTTGTTTTCTGTTGCTGCCTTGGGGAGAGGTACACAGAAGGTTAAGCTAAAGCCGGACAGTCCAACCCAACCAGTTTGTTTTTCTCTAGCT